AATGGAGCCTGGGTTTTGTGGAGAAATGGCTGACTAGGTTTGGGGCAAGGAAGCCTGGGAATCATCCCACTGTTCCAGAACTGGCAAAAGTCCTCGAAAACTGCTAAGAACATGTCAAAAAGACACAGGAGGCAGCCTGATGGGGCTCTTGCTGGCCCAAGTGGGACACCTGGAGTGGTGACACTTAATGGCACACACATGCACAGGTTCGTGCCCCAGGCAGGCCTGGCTGCACGGGCCCGCACCACTGCAGTCACGAGGGCCCTGCCCTGCTTTAATGCTCTGCTGTTGCCATCTCAAAATTGGTTTGTTTTTTTTTAAAGAGGCTCCACATTTTCCTTTTGCCCTGGACTCCACAAATTATACCGCCAGTCCTGGGGACGGGGGAGGTCTTGCTAGAGAATACCTGGTAAGAAATGTCGAAGGGAGGCTAGAGCGACAAGATCACCACATTGCAACCAGCACTTGATTCAGGCAGAATCATCGCTGGACACCGAAGACACTGGGGAAAACGTTGTTGGGACCCAGAACATTCTAATAGTCTTAAAGTGTCACTCCACAGATCATAAAGAGCAAATTGATTTTAATTCTATTAATTATAAAAGGAGACATGCACTTTTACCACGAAGAGATCTGGCAGACCCGGCTTGGCCAAGAATGGGGACGTGGATTCTGTGCCTCCTGGTGAGCGCAGTGGGAACCACAGCAGGTATTTTTGCCAAAAACGTTTAAGCCGAATTTAATCATGAGGAAACAGATGAATCCAGACTGAGACCTTCTACCGGACATGTCAATGTCATGGAAGACAAAGGCAGGGATTGTTCTGGATTAAAGGAGGCCAGAGAGGTTTGACAATCAAACGGAATGCCTGATCCTTATTTGGCGTCTGGATTTAAAAAGAAAAAGCCATGAAGGACATAGGAAAATTAAGGAAATTTCAATTTCTTTGAAATTGGATAATAGTATTGCTTCAGTGTTAAATTTCCACGAGTGTGATCAGGATATTATGGCGATTATATGGGCTAGTGTCCTTGTTCTTAAGAGGTACACACTGAGGTAGGAATAAGTATGTGCAACTTACTTTAAATGGTGCAGGGAAAAAATATATGGACACACATACATCCCCACGTGTGCATGTGGACAGGCGTAGCTCACTCTATTGCAGCGGTCTGGAACCAAGCCCACAATATCTCTGAGCTATGCCTGAATATATATATATATATGTATTTTTTATATAGATATAAATAGTATATGTATGAATCTAGGTGAAGGGTATACATGTGTTCATTATACAGTTTTTAAATTTTTCCATAAGTTAATTAATTTTTCAAAAAGGTTTCTATAGAAATGTGCTCTTCATAGCAACGAGCTCCTTTTCATCCCTTCGGGGAACACTTATTATAAATCCAGGTGGCACGTCTGGTACCACACGTCACAAAAGGTAAAGGTAAATGCAGGCACTCCCTGACAGCAGCACCCAGGTCACGGTGGGAGACGGCACAGATGTCCACAGACAGCGTCGTGGAGGGAGGTGATGGACGCTGAGCCCGCCTGTGCCTCACGCAGCAGCAGGTGTTCTCAGCCGGGAGGGAGCCCTGCCTTCATTTCACATTCGGCCTGACTGAGGCGCCTCCACTGGCTCTCAGTTACCGAGGTCAAGTCCAAACTCTGAGGCTCAGTGTGTATCTTGTGCACTTTATGTCCAGCCACGTGAGCTTTGGATGGTGCCAGGATGGACCATGTTCTTTGATACTTCAGGCCTTTGCATGAACGATTCCTCAGTTAGGGATAAGAATGCCTGCCACGCTTCGACCCGTCCCTAAGACTCAGCGCAAAGCCTCATCCTAGTCCGAGGGGCCTTCCCTGACTCAGTCTTCTCCCAGTGACTGGATCTCTGGATTTTACTGACATGTTTGTGGTATATTTGTTCCTCTTTCTTCTCCCCTGACACATACAGGTGCATATACAAACACAGACACACACAAATATGCACACACACACACCCCATTGCGTCCCCAAAGCCTGACAGGGCCTGGAGCTTTTCAGAACTGATGTTCAATAAATGGATGTTGAATGAATGAATATGCCAGAAAGCATGAAGCAAGTGCACCAAGGAAATGAATGTTTCTTTGAAATATCCGATATAATAAGATCCAGGAGCCCCACGGAGATCAGGGGAGTCTTAAGCAGGCACTAGGAGAGTTTACATGGTGAACTTTGGCATGAAACTAACACATAAATGCACATTTCAGACACCTACAGCCATCTTACAGGACACGATTTCACCAATGTGTCCTAGAATGTGAAATGTACTAAAAAACTTCCAAATAAGTCCTGGGAACTTTATTCTGAATTCTTCCAGAAGTTTTTAATCTTTTCTTCAACTTTTGAGCTAAGTCTGAACACCCAGTTAAGTGTGGAATGGATCTGGAGTCATCAAAAACATAAGTTGCTTCTTGGGTTGCATTAAAGATCTGGTAATTTGTTTTAAACTTTCATTTTTTAAGGAAAATTAAATAGAGGTGAATTTTTCATTGACAGTGAAATATATACTAAGCCATGGATTAATATGTTCATAAAAATTTATCTAAACAAAGTGCTGCCTGTCTTATTTATGTTAAAGTCTGTAAAGTCTGCAGTGAAAGGGGAAAGTACTTTCCTGGAATATATTTGTATCTGTCACAAGCTGCATCTTGAGGAAATTGGCAGGCATTTGAAGTGGAATAATTCCTTAGCGTTCTGTTTAGTTTGGATTTCTTCAATTCAGGGATGGCTTAAAACCAGAATCACCAATATTTGCTTTAACAAGCATCTAACATTTTTCTCTTGCTTTGTGTGTAATAAGTGCTCAATAAATGTTGGTTGAATTGAATCATCTTGTTCCTCCTTCCTTGGGGGTGTCGGGGTTATTTGGTCTATTCTCCAAAACAGAAGAATTCTAAAAGGAAAATAATCTCCAAAATGACCTCTCCACAGACAGTTTCTCTCATCTTCCCACTCCTTGTACACAAAACTGCTTAGATTAGCTTTCTGAAATGCTTCTTGGATCCCTCTTCGGTCTGCCAAATTCTATGGCATGAACCAAAGACTCCAGTCTGTCTCCTCACCCACTCTTCCTCGATTCTACCGGAAGCCTCTGTTCCAGCCACACTGGCTTCAGGGCCTCCTGGACACGACCTGCGTCCGTGTTTTCTCCCGGGACGCTCCCACGTGAAATGCCTCCCCTGACCTCTCGGGCAGCGGGAGTCCTATCTCATCAGTTGGGGCACAGACTCAGTCTCCCACCCTCCGGGAGGATCCCCCCAAGCTGTCTCAGTCCCCCTATGGAGCACTGTGTGATTGTCTGCAATGTATTTGCAAACAGAAAAAAGAGTGATACATCTTCATACACGCTCTTAGTACCCTTTACAAATGTGTGAAAACATTCAGCTGCTGTAAAATCTTTTGAAAGAAAATAAGATCCAATTAACGTTGACTTTTATGTCGGGAAAGCCAAGGGTTTCAAAGGAATTCCTTTCACTCATTTAACAGCTATTTTTTTAGCGCCTGCTCTGTGCCAAGCACTGGAGGGGAAAAAAAAAAAAAGAAGACAAAAAGACCTGCCTTCAGGAAGCTGAAGCTCTAGACTATGTGCTGTTTCTGAGGGTCTGCCCCGCCGCACCCTGCTGGGAACCAGGGCTCAAAGCTGAGGAGGAGACGTGGAGGGAGAGGACGAAGGAAGATGACAGTGTGGCTTGGAGTGGGCTGCCAGGCAGGAAGGGGAGGCAAGCTGGGAGGTCAGTGGCAGAAAGCTTCCAGTGCCACACATGGGACTTGGCTTAGCTATTTTTTGTTGTAAGGTTGATAATGAAGAAGAAACTCAAAGTAAGAGGAGTGGCGAGCGGAAGTAGCTAGAGGTCACAGAGAGAGGTGCCAACCAAAGGCCCATCATGAGCAGTCAGGTTGTGGGCAGCACCAGGGAACAGAGCTTTATGTTTAAATGACTCTGGGGTAGAGCTTCCTCAGCTAGGTCATCATCCCCTGAACCTGGTGTCTTAGCCTCAGTAGAAGCCAGGACCTCGACAATGGCACATCTACCTGGTGCACCTCCACCACCCAGCGCTCACACCCCCAGACAGGCCTTTCCTCCCCAACGAGAGGTGACCAAGCCGCCCCACTCCCTCATCTCATCTCTCCTGCCCCTGCTCTCTCTCAGGGGGTGGGGGGCAGTGGGGACAGCTTAGTCAGACTGTTGCCCGATGACCCTTCTTGCAAAGCGGTGGGTTGGGGAAGGGCCCCCCACTCAGCAAGGCAGTGCCTGGAATTGTCCTTGGCCGTCTCAGAAGCAGTGAGCTGGATGGAAACCCCTGTCACCTCCTCACATCCAGGACAGTGCCTAGCAAATGGTGTCTGACAAACGTCAAGGAACCGATTATGAAATGAGGAGGAAGTGACTGTTAACCTTGTGCCCACCATGCCAGCCAGTAGGGCCTTGGAAGGCCGCAGGAGCAGGCCCAAATCCAGGAATCGCCAAGCCAATCCCAACCCAATGTTGGGGGCCACGTGTGTGGTGTAGAAGGGGCGGCCCTGTCCTGTGGGGTCCCAGGCGACAGCCAGGGGCAGCTCAGAGACCTTTGAGGGGACTGCTTGGCGCGGCCTAGCGTCTTCCTGGCGGGAAGTGCTTCGGGCTGGCTTGAGGTTGGGCCCCAGACCGCTGAAAGTCGGGCCCCTTCCCGGAAGCGACTCCGAGGCCCGGTCGCCTGCGCCCGAGCGGCCCGGCCACCTGCTCGGGGCTGGGGCGGCGCCACTGGCGGCCGGGCTGGGCCGCTCAGGCCCTGCGGGCGGGCAAGGCCTGCTCGGGGCCTGCTCGGCTGGGCCGCCCGCGCCCTCCCGCCCTGCT